ATGTGGGGGGGCGTGAAAATATTTTGTGCATTGGGAAATGTGGTGCAAACATTACTACTATTAAAGCAGGTCAGAATGGGACTGGGGGCAGCTCAGGAGCATTTCCACTCCCTGAAAGGGGTTGCCAGGGCGCTGAGTGCCAACATCTTGACTTTACTCGGGACAGCCTGTCAATAGAACGGAACGTTAAAAATGACACAAATGATCGAGGAGGTTGTTTTTGCTGCTTTGGAGTTAGCCCTCTTTCCACTGGGCTCTCTTGAAAAAGGCATTTGGGATTCAGTGATCAAAGCCAACATCACACACACAGACACGCACACATGCACACACGCGCACGCACACGCACACGCACACACTCACACGCACACAGTATGTTTACCCTGAAGACTTGGTAGTTCTAAATACTTAAATTTGGAAGGTTCTCAATTAAGAAACCCTTGGAACCAAGTCTTTTGGGGAAAAAATGTGTTCGATAAATGTTGTTTTTCGTTTGTTTGTTTTTTCTGTTTCTCCTTCTCAATGGAAGAAGAAACAGAAAATTATCCCTTGGAGAACTCTTCCACCAGGTGTTGGGCACTTGACATATCACTTTATTGAATCCTGGCAATCCTACCAGGGAGATATTATCAGGCTTATTTTATAGAGCAGGAACCCAGAGCCCAGAGATGACATCACTGGCCAAAGGTAAGAGACGGCATTCAGAGAGAGACTGTACTGGCTGCAAAGTCAGTGTTTCTCTCTCCATCCCTTGCTCTCTCCTTTCCAAAAAGTCTGTTCTAATGTTTTTCCAAATTTCCTCTCTGGAACAGTTTGATATCTGTGAGTATGTAGGTAGTTGAGTTCTTTTTTTTCCCCCCACCGCTCCACCAGAAAATACAGGAAGGGGAACTGTCTTAGAATCAGAGACGACGTCCCCTCAAACCATAGCGGTTTCCAAGCAAGGACTGATTCCTTTCTGTCCGCTCACAGCTTAATTGCAATGCTTTTCCACTTTATTAGTTTCCAGATTCTGGGCCAAGTGTTTTAAAAAGCAGGTAGGGGAGAGTTTCTCCTATATGCTCCTGGCAGCCTGCCATCACCCCCAGAATCTGTGGCTTGCTATTTCAGAAAGGGATCCACACTGAAGGCCTCGCCCCCACCCCTAGACTCCCACCCAGTGAAACGTACATATCACAACTCTGCTGATGGAAGCAGAAATGCTGGCTCTGGGGGCCAGAGTCCAGGCTGGGGACAGAGTCTTTGTAGGTTTAGAGGGGGCCACGGGAGGCGGTGGAGAAGGAAGAGCTTATTTTATTACCCAGGAATAAAAACATTGTGTGTAATGAATAAAGTCCGAAAGCAGTAAATCTGGGGATCCAGAGTTAGGTGTGTAACGTGTTGGGGGAACAGTTTAAGCCTTTGCCTCTTCTGCAGGGGAGAGGTATTTGGGCTGCCTCTCACAACACGAATTTCATTAAACGGTCTTTTAAGGGTTAGGATTACAAGAAGCCAAGTCCGGCTGGTTCCTAAGGATGATTTATGGCTGTGTTGGCGACTCCCCGACCCTTCTGTACAAGGGGATAGAGAAAATACATAATTTGTTGCTCATTAACTCCCAGATCTGTCAGGGTTGCCCCAGAAGTTTTGTGGACTTGGAGTCATATGTCTGCTAAATGGCTTCAACCTGGTTCTTAAAATATGCCATTGCAATTCTACAGTGGACGCTTTGTCACAACAACAGACATAGTAAAATTATCTCCGTGCAGTCAGCATGGGGTTTTGGGCTTGAGAGTCCAAACAACTGGACTCTGACACTTTGCTCTGTCACTCACTAGTCTCACCGTCCTTCAGGTCAGTCACCACGTCTGAGAGGCTTAATGTGCCCATCTGTGGAATGGGTACAGCCTCAGAACATGGTAGGTTGCATGGAACTGTAAAGGATCGTGAAGGATTGCTGCTCTGATGAGCACTGTTTTCAAGAAGCATTTGAATTCCCAGGTTCCTGTAATTGGTACTGACAATCCAAGTTTCAGAAGAAAGGGCTGGTAGAGCTGCAAGGAAGGAACCATAGGGTTGGAAGCAAACCCTTTTCCACCACAGACTAAGGGAAGCGGGTGATCCATCTCAGATGAATCAGTGAGTGAACACGTGGAAGGCTCGTTTGCAGTCCTCCTTCATTGCAGGGGTCTTGTAGCCTCACACCGGGCATCATACTCAAGCTGAGGCCATTTGGAAATCCTTTCTGCGTCTGTGACCAGAGGCTGCTTCAAGGAGCATCCCAAGGCAGGGTGGAGCGTGGGACCCGTAGGGTTATCTCTGTTCCTGCTTCTTCCCTTTACTTGGGGGCCAGGGTAGAGGTAGCAGAGAGAGTTGAGGATAAATGTCACGACAGTGATGAAGAGTTTAGCACCTTTGTGTTTTTCATATGGAGAAATTGACATTCCTCATACATTCATTCATTCATTGAGTAAGTGAGACTCAAGCTCTGGGTCCCTGACCTCTTGTTTTGGGTTCCTCCGTCTGCATCTAAAGTCACGTGGAGAAGATTTATAAATAAAGAGTCAGAAAGAGAACCCGATGAACATGATTGTGGAAAGATGCATCTGGAACTTGTTAGCCTGTAAGGTTACATAGGGTAAAAGTATAAACAGGTTCAAAAGGGGAATTAGACCAGGAATGGTAGGAAAGAATTCTGGGCGGGGAGTCGGGACACCTGGGTCTAATCTTTAGCTGTGAGTTAATTAGGACCTCGGTTTCTTCCATATATAATAGCCCCTTTCATTTCGGACTTGCTGTGCTTCTCAGATTTTAATCTCAGAAAAAAATGTTATCAAAGGACTCTTGCTAATGTGTAGAGGATATGTCCAATTTTGCAACTACTGTCTTGCCCCCTTTCATTCATTCATCCACTCATGTTTGAGCACCTAGGAGGAGTCAGGCCATTTGTCTCATTCTTCGAAGGCATGGCAAGGCCAGGGTGCTGGCCTGGACTGGCCTTTGGCCATCTCTCTCCTGTAGAATCCCCTTTCAGACGGTCTGGGAAAACAACACGTGAACACATGGAGCAAGAGCACCAGCACTTGGGCTGGAGCAATAGCACAGCGGCTAGGACTTTTGCCTGGCATGGGGCTGACCTGGGTTTGATCCGCAGCATCCCATATGGTCCCCTGAGCACCGCTAGGAGTAATCCCTGAGCACAGATCTAGGAGTAACCCCTGAGCATCCTCCAATGTGACGCAAAAAGAAGAGAGAGAGAGAGTAAGAGAGAGAGACAGACAGAGAGACAGAGAGAGAGCCAGCACTGAGCAATGCAGAGGCCCTGTAGATGTGTCTAGTTGGGGGGTCCTGGTTTCACTGCCTTTCCCTGGCTTCTATGGCATTGCCATTCTCACAGTCAGTCATTCTATCTCTGAACTCTGGAGACCCCAAGGGCCTGGGTCAGTCCCCAACTCTGGATGCCTTCCCCTCACGCAGGTGAATAGCATGGTACCCTCAGGAGGATCCTCATCTATGGCTTTCCCTGTGGTTAGAAACATGCTCCCTGAAAGGGCAAGTGTGGCTCATCGTCCAGGGGAGGAAGTGTGAAAGGGACATTGTGGTGAGTGATGAGGTGACTGTTCTACCGCTGGATGTGGTCGCAAGCAGGAAGTGGCCAGGCCATGCTGTGGTGTTGAGGCCAGCCAGCTGTGTGGTGGGGCATGGCCAAGGTGGATTGGCCTTGCCTTCATGCCAGCTGCCTGGGCATCCCTGGCACTGACCTAATTGGGACAGTTTCTCCCCACCCGCTCCCGCTGTTCTGAATGAAAATCCAGGCAGTTTCAGTTGAGTTATTTCCTGTCTTGGAACCTCAGTGGATGAATCCCTCGTGATTGTGGGTGTTTTATGAAGTGAAGGGTATAAAAGCAGAGCCTGGCATGTTGGCATTTAGATGATTAGTGATGGGTAACCTTAAAAAGAAAAAAATTTTTTGAACTGCTATAAATGCCACGTTAAAAGTGCCTTGGTTTGGGGGCTAGAGACACAGCACAGTGGGTAGGGCATTTGTACCTTGCATGCACCCAACCCAGATTCAATCTCGGGTATCCCAAGCCCCACCAGGAGTGATCCTTAAGTGCAGAGTGCGGAAGTAAAAGCTCTGAGCACCACTATGTGTGGCCTCAAAACCACACCAAGAAAACTTGCTGATTTGGGGCTGTAGAGATAACACTGGACTTAGGTATACTAACTTTGCACACGACCAACCCTGATTTGATCCCCAGAACCACATATGGTCCCTTAACCCTGCCAGGAGTGACTCCCAAGCTCAGAGCTGTGAGAAGACCCCCCCCCCCCCGAGTCCCAGCAATAGAGTGCCTAGTTTCTAACCCAGCATTGCTTTCTTCCACATCCTTCCAAAGGGCCAAATGGAAGAAATACTTCATGTGATGCCTGCTGCTTTCCTTTCCCGTTAAGCCCACAGCCTTGCAAAGCAGAGCAGCCTCCCCTTCATGGAGAAGCCATCAAGCCCTTATTTGTCTCTTTCTTCATTAAGAAAAAAATCCTATAGACATGCCTCTCCCCCCATATATAGGTGTTTGTGAATTTTTCTTGTTTTATAGGTTCTTTATGGCCAGGTAGAACTTTTCTGGAAAAATAAAGTAACATAAAGGAGGGCTAGATTGGTGTCACAGCAGGTAGGGTGTTTGCCATGCACGCAGAGAACTCAGGTTTGATTTCTAGCATGCCATATGGTCCCCTGAGCACTGTCAGGAGTAATTCCTGAGCGCAGAATCAGGGGTAACCCCTGAGCATCACCAGGTGTGACCCAAAAAACAAACAAAACAAAACAAAAAACCCATAAAGGAAATAATGGCTGCGTTTGGCACCATGGTCCCCCACCCTGTGCCTCTTCGTGTCTGAATACCTGGACTCTTGAGCTTCAGTTTTATACCAGCCTCCTGGGGTCGTTATGGATCCGTTATGACATCTGTTCTGAAGATGAGTCTCCCCATGCCCTAATTCCTCTCTTGGTTTCCTTCCAGATCATCACCGGGGAATTCTACCGGATCTATTACCTGAAGGAGAAGTCTCGCTCGACCATTCAGAACCCCTACGTGGCGGCCCTCTATAAGCAAGTGGGGTGCTTCCTCTTCGGCTGTGCCATCAGCCAGTCCTTCACGGACATTGCCAAAGTCGCCATAGGGCGTCTGCGTCCTCACTTCTTGAGCGTCTGCAACCCTGATTTCCGCCACATCAACTGCTCAGAAGGCTACATTCAGACGTACACGTGCAGAGGTGATGACAGTAAAGTCCAGGAAGCCAGGTGAGATGCCTCTCTGCCAGCCCCCACCCTGATACAGGCAACTTGGGGAGCATGTCCTCAGCACCTACTAGTTGCTAGACTCTGCTCTGGGGCTCAGATGTCATTGAATAGATACAAATCCCTCTTCCTGAGGACTCTGCTGTGCAGTGCTTGAGAAAGAATGTAAAGAAATGATGATGGGGGCTGGAGAGAAATAGGACTGTTGGTATGGTGCTTGCCTTGTGTGTTCCATCCAAGCACACCAAATGATTCCCCAAGCCCCAGCTGGAGTGGCTTTGAGCCAGGACTGAGCCCTGAGCACTGCTGGGTGTGTGCCCCCAAAGGAAACATAAAAACTTTGGTGCTACCTATCTACAGCAGGTATGGTGCTTGCCTTCCATAAAACCTACACCAGTTCAATCCCCGGCATCCCCAATGGTCCCCCAATATCACCAGGAGTAATTTCTGAGTGCAAAGTCAGGAGTAGCCTCTGAGCATTGCGCTCTCGCTCTCTCTATCTCTCTCCTCTCTCTCTTTCTCTCTCTATTTCTGTCTCTCTCCTGATTGTAGAACTCGAACACACACACACACACACACACACACACACACACACACACACACCAACCAATAAACCAAAAATAAAATAAAATGATTATGACAGAACCTTGGTAAGTTCATTTGTTCATTCATGAGTTCATGGCACCTGCCATGTTCCTTGTTCTAGGCACAGTCAGGGTCTTGGGTGGGAAGACTGGGATAGGTGTGTGGGAGGTGACTCTGACCCTTCACGATCCTCTCTTGCTTTTACAGGAAGTCCTTCTTCTCTGGCCATGCCTCCTTCTCCATGTACACCATGCTGTATTTGGTGGTAAGTTCTTTCCCTCTGATTCCGGTAGGCTCCAGGGTCCACTCCTAGCTTAAGTCCCCTCTGTATAAGGAGCCGTCAGTCACACTTTACCTTGCCATCCTTGAAAAAGAAGTTGCTGGAAGTATACCCTACTGCAGCTGTAGCAATAGTGCTTGGCTTTCCACTGATTTTTCTAGACATTTCCCATTTTTCAATTTAAGATATTTAGAGCGATAGCACAGTGTGTAGGGCGTTCGCCTTACAAGCGGCCAACATGGCCGACCCGAGTTCGATTCCTCTGCCCCTCTCGGAGAGCCCGGCAAGCTACCGAGAGTATTCGATATGCCAAACACAGTAACAACAAAGTCTCCAATGGAGATGTTACTGGGCCCGCTCGAGCAAATCGACGATCAACGGGAGGGCCTTTACCTTACCTTACCTTATTGCGTTAGGACCCAGCTATAGTAGAGTGGGTAGGGCACTTGTCTTGCATGCAGCCAACCCAGGATCGATCCCCAGCACCACATATGGTCCCCTGAGCCCAACCAGGAGTAAGCCCTGAGCACTGCTGCATGTACCCCAAAATACAGATGAGAAATGGTACAGAGAATAGGGAACATGCCTTCTATGTGATCGCCTGGTTCAGTCCCCAGAACTGTGCAGTTTTCTGAGTGCTGCCTTGGATATTTTGAGCTCTACTGTGGCCTAAGAGGTTCTAAGTACTGCCAGAGTCACCCCGGAGATTCCTGTCACCACAGGTTCTGAGCAGCACCACATTCTAGCTAGGACCTTGCCTTGAACCTCTAGCCTGGAAGACCAAGAATCACCCAAAGCCGCCCCCTCCCCCCCCGAACTCCTGAGCACTGATTGAAAGCCTCCTTACCAAAAAATATTTTACTGGGACTCCTTGATAAGGATCCTGCATCTTTAAAAAAATAAAATTATAAAGCAACAGATATATTAACATTTTAGAATCCCAAGAGATGCTTCTTTCTGGTGATCCCTATACTCACTTCCCTCTTCGACAGTCTTAGGGCCTAAGTTACTGTCTTCTCTGGAAAGGATAGCTTCAGTGAGGTTCCAGAAATTGAAGCTGACTGCCAGAATTTACCTGAATACTGGAACTGGCATTTAGCTGATCCAATTCTTGCATGCACACCTGCATGCATTGGCCCTGCCAGACTCCCTCTGCTCTCTCTCTCTCTCTCTCTCTCTCTCTCTCTGTTTCTCTTTCTCTCTCTCTCTGTCTCTCTCTGTGTATATGTGTGTCTCTGTCTCTGTCTCTCTCCTCTGCCTCTCTGTCTCTGTGTCTTTCTCTCCTCTCTGCCTCGCTGGCTGTCTTTGTCTCTCTCCTCTCTGCCTCTCTGTTTCTGTCTCTGACTCTCTGTCTCTGTCTCTCTCCTTTCTATCGCCCCGTCTCTCACTCTCTGTATCTCTGTCTCTGTCTCTCTCCTCTCTGTCTCTGTCTCTCTCCTCTCTACCTCTCTGTTTCTCTCTGCCTCTCACTCTCTCTTCTCTCTGTCTCTGTCTCTCTCTCTCTCCTCTCTGTCTCTGTCTCTTTCTCTCTGTCTCTCTCTTTCTCTCCTGATGGTAGAACTTGAAAAACCATTACTCCTTCACTCGGGGTAAGGTTGAACTGAGCAGGTGCCTCATAATGCCACACTAAAGCCAGTCCTCCTGAGCCCCAGCCTGACCTGGAGACCAAGGCCAGAATAGCTCAGCCATCTGCCAGTGGCCCTGGTGCAGACACTTCCCCCGGAGATGGGACTGGGCTCTGAGTTCCCACACTGGATTCAGGGCCAGGCCACTGGACCTGGGCAGGTGTGGGCTGTGCCTCAGGCGTTTTCTCTCTGTCAGTTCATTCCCACCCCTGTCTTTGCTCTCTTTTTGAATTAAGTCCCCGTGCCCAGGAACTCGTTGCTATCAGCCTCTGTGAGGGCGCTCTGAGCGAAAAGGCCCCGAGAGGCCAGACAGCGCTGAGAGCAGCAAATGCTGTTTTGAAAAAGAGTGTTTTGATTTTAACTGGCGTTGAAAAACATAATTAGGAATTGGAAAAAATAGCAGAGTTTGCTTTGTTTTGGTTTCCCCATCCTTTTCAAGCTCTCAGGCCTCTGGCCTCCCTGTAACCAAGGAGATGGTGCGTAAAAGGTGACCCAAGCTCGGAAGCCGTTCCACGTGGATTTATTTATTCCTGCAGCATTTTCCGTCACTTTTCATTTTTTTTGAAGTTGTTTTTGTTTTTGCCTTGCCCCCGAGAAAGGATAATTTAGCATAGATATTTAGTTTCCTGTTCCATTTTTTTATATGTTACCCAGACCTGGAAACAATTTTACAAATGTAATTTCAGAGCATGTGGTAAAGGTGCTTAGAGGAGGGATTTTTTTTTTCCACATTCCTTCATTTACTTCCAAGAGAAAAACACTGAGTAATTTTGAAACCAACTCTGTGTGCTCCAGAAGGTCCCAGGAGGGACATTTCTAGCACCTCTCAGTATCTTCTGTGCGTCAGGCACTGGGCTGTGTTCATCTAGAACGTCTGATTCTCTTAATATCTCACTGGAATACATTATGGTGACCCTGTTTCTCCTTTAAAGTAAACAAACCTGGGGCTGGAGTGATAGCACAGTGGGTAGGGCGTTTTTCTTGCACGCTGCCGACCTGGGTTCGATTCCCAGCATCCCATATTGCCCCCCGAGCACCGCCAGGAGTAATTTCTGAGTGCAGAGCCAGGAGTAACCCCTGAGTATCTCCGGGTGTGACCCAAAAAGCAAAGAAAAAAAAAGTAAACAAATCTGGATCTAAAAATTTAAATAGTTCTGATGTACATAATTATTCCGTCACCACTAAGTGACGGAACTCTATTACCCATAACTCTATTACCACTGTCTTTAAAAAAAAAAAACTTACCTGAAATAAAATAAAGATTAAGCAAAGCCAAAAACAAAATAAAACTTAATTTACCATGTAATAGTGGAGACCGGAGAAAGGAAGAGGTGATCTACAAGTGACTTAAACATAGTAGTGGAGGCTCTTGACCACGTTAATGTCAGTGAAGATGCCGTAACTTTGTACATCAAAATCGTAACTGTAGGAGAGATAGTTCAATGAGTTGTAAACGCCTTGCAGATGGCCAACCTGGGTTCTATCCCCATCATCCCATATGGTTCCCCAGGCACTGCCAGGAGTAATTCCTGAGTGCAAAGCCAGGAGTAAGCCCTGAGCATCACTGAGTGTGGCCCCCAGAACAAAACAAACCCCATTAATCTTAACAGGATTTTAATCATGTTATCTAAACTACCACAAAATTTTAAAACAACACTAATTATATATATTCTGAAGGGACAGACAAGGAGGATGTTAAATAATAGATAGTTCAGTATTCATCTGTTCCTTGTCCTGTGACGCGGGGTACAGAAACCATCCTTCCTGGCTCAGGAGGAACCTACTAAGCTGATGTTGATTGTGGTCCCACCTGAAGGGAACCAGTCTCTGGTCTGTTTCACTGAGGGGAACAGCCCCATGCCCACCTGCCCCTCCATACCAGCTCCCATTCTAGCAAGAGAACCGTGCAAGGGTAAGGGGTGGGGGGTGCGAGCAGACTTGATAGAATGTTTATTTGAACTTCCCAAAGAGTGGAAAAGCCTTCATACTTCGGGAAGAAGGACAGGAGAGAGGAAAGGAAGGCTGGAGAATGAAAGGGAAAGAGGGCAAGAGAGGAACTTTGTCCTTTGTCTCCTAAGCAGGTTATTTTACCCAATCTCTTGGGAGTCCTTGCAAGCACTAAGTCAGATATTCATAATTGTAGACACCCACATGGGTACCATCCTTACATAGGGCTCTAGTTTGAGCATTAAGGTTATCTTGCCCTAAAACAATCTCTGCCGGGGGCCGGAGTGATAGTATAGCAGGTATGGTGTTTGCCTTGCACACAGCTGACCCAGGTTCGATCCCCGGCATTCCATATGGCTCCCCAAGCACTGCCAGGAGTAATTCCTGAGTGCAGAGCCAGGAGTAACCCCTGAGTATTGCTGGGTATGGCCCAGAAATAGATAGATAGATAGATAGATAGATAGATAGATAGATAGATAAATAAATAAATAAATAACCTCTTCAGTTGAGGGCCTCCAAGGCAGGACAGTGCCCTTGACTGGGGCTTGTTTGCCTGGGGTGTTGCAGTGTCTCAGCACTTTAGATTTCTGAAGGAAGTTTGCTATCTTTTTGGGTGGATGGGAGATCCTCTGACTTCACCTCCGCAGTGTTCCTGTCTAGGAACAGAGAGACTCCAGCTTCCCCAGGATACTTGCTAAGTGCCTGCCATCACTGCTACAGGCAGCCGTGGGAGTTCCTGTTAGCATAAGAGTCTACGCAGGTCGGTTCCTGGCTCTAGAGCAAGGCATCCATGCACTCCTGGAAAGGAGCAACAGCCATATGTCTCCTTTCAATGGCTGCCCCCGTGTCCTCTGACCACCTGCTACAGGAAGGGTAGAATCTCATGGTGTCCTTTAACCTCTCCAGACACGTGACTCTCTTTGAAGTGTTTAAAGTTTTCTTAGTGCAGAATGGAAATGGAAAGTTGGGAAGCCATCAGGAACACACAGGGACTAACATGTCCACTCCACCCAAGTTTCACGCGAGAGGCCACCACAGCTCAGAACCCGGAGTAAACCTTGAGCACTGCTGGGTGTGGCTCAGCATCCCTCACCCTCCCCACAATAAAGTTTTTTGTGATCATCCAAGTTGAACCTTGTCCCCTCACTTTGCCAGAGAAGCCGTCCCTGTTTCAACAGACCTCCTGTTTTATGACAGCCTACCTCTGGGTCTCGCTCACCCGCTTGGCACCATTATGTTCCCCTCATCCCCATATTTCTCCCCAGCTGCATCCCGAATCTTCATCTTCATTTTCATCACCTGATCCCTGTAAGGTTCATGGAGGAGACTTTGTCTCCTGATTCACTATGTAGCTCTCTTCACCAGACCAGTAAGTGAATGGATTCCACATCTTTGGGCATTCCCCAGCCTTGC